TATCTATGCAAAGCCACATTCAACATGTTTGAAATGGTTCTTCAGAGCACCCAGGAGAAGCAGTCCTGTCGGGAGAAAAGCATGCAGGACAGACTCCGTTTAGGCCATTTCACTACAGTGAGACATGGAGCGTCGTTCACAGAACAGTGGACTGATGGCTATGCTTTCCAAAACCTTGTGAAGTAAGAGGCTTTTACGGGAATGATGTCTTGTTGGTCATGTATTTTGTTTTCTATTTGTAAGTTTACATTTTCTTTTATAGTTTTTATGTAATTTCATTCACATTTGTTTTTCTTGTATTATATTTTTTGACAAACGGTACTGTTCAAAGGACTCCTTATTTACTCTGAGAAGACTTTTATAGTTAAGCGTTTGGTAGTTTCTCTATAAATAGAACCAACTAACCCAAACATATATTAAGCTACTGCCACAAATGGTGAATCAGGTTTAATTACTAAAATACATAGCCTCAAAGTAACCTTACAACTTACATATTTACATCTTCATCATGGTTTCATATCACTTCAGTAATGGTGCTGATCTCATCTAACAAAAATCACTATTCTCTCTTTCCATCTGCAGACAGCAAGAGGGTTTAAACCAACAGCGAGAGGACATCGAGAGGCAGAGGAAGCTGCTGGCCAAGAGGAAACCTCCATCCTCCAGCAACTCCCAAGCACCAACCACAAACTCTGAGCCAAAGCAACGCAAAACCAAGGCAGTGAACGGAGCAGAAAGCGACCCCTTTCTAAAACCCAGCCTACCTCAGCTGTACGTTCAGGCGTGTGTTCATCAGGAGTTTTACAGCAGCCGTTATCCTAGGAAATGTTTGCTCAAAGAATCTATAGTTTTGTTTAATTCTTACTCATAGTCTGCTGTTGTAGAAGGTTTAACAGGACTGAATGCACAGTAAATGAATAACACAATGTCCTTAGCATGTCCATGTTTCCTTAATGACATGAAGTAATGGTGATGTTCTCTCTTCCTGGAAAGGCTGACACTAGCAGAGTACCACGAACAGGAAGAGATCTTCAAACTGCGACTTGGACATCTCAAGAAGGTTTGTTCAATGCTGATCCTGATGCACTTGATGATAAATGTATTATTTTTTTATCGGGGGGGGAATTTGTCTTCCTGGGCAGCACATGACCTTATGTATTTGTTCATTGCATACATCATAAGTACCCAGTAGGACCCAGAACACAATGGGGATAAAGGGCTGTTTTACACAGTTAAGAAGTAAAAACCTTATTAGAGTCGATACAAAATAATTGTACATATGTAGTCTGATTCTCCTGCTTCCCAAGATGAACCACTTTTGATGTGCATCCCACTAAGGATCGAGCCATCCTGTAGTTTGTTGATGTATGCTTTGTTTTCCTGATGAATAAGCATCCCAGAAAGCCACTGACAGACTCTGTACCAAGTCAACTGTTAATATTTCATACAGGAGCTGTCCGCTGAGTAGAAGTTGGTTTTGATGAGCTCCTCTCCTTGCAGTCAGAGTTCTGAAGTCACTTCTTAGCATTTGTGTGTTGGTGTGCTTGAATCATTTATAGGAAGAAGCTGAGATCCAGGCGGAGCTGGAGCGTCTGGAGAGAGTGCGCAACCTTCACATTCGGGAGCTGAAGAGAATAAATAATGAAGACAGCTCACAGTGAGTCTGAATCAATTCCTCTCGCAGTCACTGCAATGACTTTGGAACATGATGCACACACAAGGCCAGTGTCCTCAGCCACCGTGGGGATGTTACCTAACTACCCACAGGAGGAAGCTTTCCTGTCGTCTTCCACATTGGTCGTGTATTGTCACATCAAAGATAGACGCATACTATATCTGTCATTTCAATGATTTTGTGTTGTTTTTTCCACCCAAAGATTTAAAGATCACCCAACGTTGAATGAACGATATCTGCTCCTATACCTTCTGGGAAGAGGGGGCTTTAGTGAAGTTTACAAGGTAACTCACAAAGTGTTGATGACATTCATAGGTGTTGTCAAATATTAATGTAATGCTCTTAGCAGATGTTGCCATATTAGTCACCTTTTTTGTGCATTTATTGTGCAGGCTTTTGACTTGACTGAGCAACGGTATGCTGCTGTGAAAATCCACCAACTCAACAAGAACTGGAGGGAAGAGAAAAAGGAGAACTATCACAAGTATGTTGGCTCAAGTGGAAATGTGTAACCTCAGCTTCAGTATGCTATGATTACTGTTTCAAATGTAGTGACGCACTTTCAAAAGTTGTTCTTATATCTTTTACTTTCAATGTGTTATTCCTCTCCACAAGCTCCAAATACAGAGTCAGTGCTGGTTCTTCATTCTGTCTTTTCGTGCTTTGGATATTAAAGGAGCATTATTACCTTCCGCTCCACAGGCATGCATGTCGAGAGTACAGAATACACAAGGAGCTGGACCACCCCCGCATCGTGAAACTCTACGACTACTTCTCACTGGACACAGACACGTCAGTGCAGCATTCTTGATCTCATGCTTCCATCACTTTTCAGTTGTTTCCTTTTACATGTGGGCAGTACTTCGTAGTAAGTCTTTTCTCTATTCACTAGGTTTTGCACTGTCATGGAGTACTGCGAAGGCAACGACTTGGACTTCTACTTGAAACAGCATAAGCTAATGTCTGAGAAGGAGGCACGGTCTATAGTCATGCAGATTGTGAATGCACTAAGATACCTGAATGAAATCAAACCTCCCATCATCCATTATGACCTCAAGCCAGGTAAACACGCTGCCTGGACGACTGATGACTCCCCTCACATTAAATACAAAATGTTTATCAGTGACTCTGCTTCAACCCACTAGATAACTGACACTTTATTTTCACGCTGATTTAAAGCAGTCATACCATTTAATAGTTAACCATTTATTTTGTGGTACCGACTTGTTTTACTTTGATATCAAGGCAATATCTTGTTGGTGGACGGCACAGCCTGCGGGGAAATCAAGATCACTGACTTTGGTCTGTCAAAAATCATGGATGATGACAACTATGGCGCGGATGGGATGGACCTGACATCTCAGGGTGCCGGGACCTATTGGTGAGAGGAAACGTCCTGCATCGACATACATCGGAACATTCACCAAAGGATTTCTATTTGAATTCTTTCTAACTGGCACAAAGGCACAAAAAAGGGCTGATTGCTCCTGCCTGTTTTCTCTGTAATACCAGTGATGTTATAAGTAAGAGTTGTTTATTATTAACTTGTCGGCAGTCCCGTGGGGTAGATCTTTCTCATTTGTTAATCATATTTGTTAAATGAAATGTGCAAAGTGACTTTCTGTTAAACAACTTGTTTTCATTCTGCCTAGGTACCTGCCTCCCGAGTGTTTTGTGGTTGGCAAAGAACCTCCAAAGATCTCCAATAAGGTGGACGTGTGGTCTGTAGGCGTTATCTTTTTCCAGTGTCTGTATGGGAGGAAGGTAAGGAGGGCCCCACAGATTCTTCCCTTGAATGTTTATTTCTTTCATGATAGTTAAGCATTGCTCCTCTTTTTTCAGCCTTTCGGCCATAATCAGTCACAGCAGGACATCCTGCAGGAGAACACCATACTGAAAGCTACAGACATTCAGTTCCCTGTCAAGCCTGTGTCCAGCAATGAAGCTAAGGTAGGTGAACTTGCATACAAAAGGGAAACGGATGTTTTAAATAAGTATTTTATTATCAAAGAAAGAACATCATGAAACACCTGATTGACACATACATTTCCGTTGTATCCCCCCCCAGGCCTTCATAAGGCGGTGCCTGGCGTACAGGAAGGAGGACCGGGTGGACGTTCACCAGATGGGGAGCGACCCGTACCTGCTCCCTCACATGCGGAGGACAAGCTCCTCTGGAAATCTGCAGATGAATGCTGCTGGCTCAGGACCAGCCTCCTCCAGTATCATCTCTTACTGACTGCCTCTTACTCTGACAGAAAGGATGACTGACCAAGATGCTCCCACGAGGCTCTGGCCTGTGGGAGAGGAACCGGCCGGCAGCAGGTGGAGCAGGACTCTGGTGGATACATCTCACCGGGCCTCCTCTGACCTGTGCCAGGCTTCTTCTTGTTTACCAGGGCTTGATCGATAGAGGGACAGTGAGGGGATGTTTTTAGAAGGACATGGGTAAAAGGATCTTCTGAGGGTCCGATTAAAGCACTGAAATGGAGGACGTACCTTGAAGAAAATGTGATTGGACACTGTTCAGATGTCGCAGATGGATGAAGCCTTAAAGGGCCGAAGGGAGACTTGGCAGCCCGCCGTTTAGATGAAATAACAAGGTCCTGCCAGGGTGCAAGTGATTCAGCTGCTAGAAGTTAATTAACTGTGAGGAGAGGGCGGTCATAGTTATGTAGAACTACAAAGATTTCACTATTGATTTGGCTAAATGTTTTCTTCTTCACAAATCTTAGGCTTTAATTTGAGTTACTTAGCCATAAGAATGTAATGTGTAGCATACAAGGGGCATCTAGTGACGTGTAGGCTGGGGCAGCTTACTTACGTTTAATGCACAAAGTAACCAAATGTAGAAAAATGACAATGTATAAAATCCTATGCAGGAACATTAATTAACAGATGAATTGGAAACTGTGTATGCTGTACAGGGAATTTTAAAATGTTGAACTGCAGCAGTAATGTGTACAAAGAGGTAAAATGTCCCCATGCAAAACTAGTCTCCTGGAGTCTTTTAATTTTGCTGCTTTGTTGCTCTTACTTTTTCAAGGGCTGTATGTTCCACTTTGGGTACAAATTGTACAGTTCTGCTAAAGAGTGAATAATAAATGCCAGGAAACACTTTTCTCTCTGAATGGTACTGTTCATTCTAAAGTTGATAGTACACTACATGTAAGGCTGCAATCTGTAAGCATTTGTCTCCATAGTCTGCCATCCAATGAGATTACACTGACACTCTGTGGCTGGGTTTGGTACTGCACTACAGGGTGCTCTCTCCACATGAACCATTTTAGAGCTGAGGATCAAATAGAAAGCAGGGACCAGAGGCTCAGATTGAGAAAATACAGTTTAATTAGGGAAACGATGCATAACTTTACGAAAAAAACCGTTTTCTATATATATAATGGCTGTAGCACTTCAGCAAGAAACCTGCTTGTTGAAATGAAATCCCAAGTATTATAAATTAGTGTCCCGCCTTCACCGAAAGACCTTCAATAATTTACAGAACCACTGAAATGTCACGGAGGATTTGTTTTTCCTCCTTTGTGTTGCAATACTGTTTTTTTCATTCCCTCTAGAAGAAAGGCAATATTAAAGTAGTAGACCACCGCTGGCTGTGTGAGCACCCCATGTGTGTCTCAGCGAACAAGTGTGTATCATTGCAGAGGTAGTTGACACAAGTCTCTCACAATGAGATGACATTGCTTTGGATTGTGGATGTAGCCATGGCTGTGCTTCGGTTAGTATTGGGATACATGTGTAAGTGTTTGTTAAGCAGTGAATTGTATTAGGTGTTGAAGCTGCTACATTCCTCAACACCCTCGGTAACGCATCTGTCATATCTGATGTAAACAAAGCAGGTTTAAGTAACGTGTGCTTAATCTTAGCAGAGAAAGCATAATTCACATGAGCAGTAAAGTCACTGTACAGCTGCTGAAGCCATGGCAACAATAAATTAAATTGCAAACTGTAGTCGGAGCAATAACCAAAGCTACAGCTCAGCCGGGCAGAGCAGCTGTTGGATCTTGGCCTTTTTTGCATACAAAATATTGGAAGGAAGTGCAAAAATAGTTAAAACATAAATCCCATTTGGATCTTTAAAGGCCTCTGCAGTAGTTTGACCACTGAAAAAAGATGCACACTTCAAAGTAAAAATGTTTCCCACTTATTTTTGACGAGCTTAAAAAGCACCCATAGTTTTGTTATGTTATTATTGAGCTTAGATACTTTAAAAGTTATTGTGCAACAGAGTGAATATTTCACCTCTGTTACAGGGTTAAAACTATTATGTTCCTCTCGCTGCCTGCACTAGGTTCCAGTATCCTCGAGATACTGGAGCTCGAACAACAATCGTACCAATTTCACAAGTGGTCGGTGCAGCAAGGCTAAACTGTGTTAAGAGCAAGCTGACCTGAAACGCTGCTCTGCTAAGATGAGTCTGCAGTCATTGTGATTTGAATGGATTCAGATGGGACCACTGATGGCGGGATGGGGGTTCTGGTCAGTGAACTGTTCATTTGGAAGGTGGGGGGAGGATATGAGGGGTGCAGGAGCTGCATGGGCATTGATTGGAGGAAGAACAACGTCAGGCGGAGGCAGGCTGAGAGGTGGAAGACCTGAGGAGCAAAACACACACAGACTTACCCTCTAGTGCAGTGATTCTCAAATGGGGGTACGCGGACCCCTAGGGGTACGTTGGGGTACTGCAGGGGGCACGTGCGATTAAAAAAAAAAAAGTTAATTAAAAAAATACCATGCATGATGACAAAAATAATCTTAGTACAATAAGTTAAATATAAAACAATTTTATATAAAATATTCCTAAAACAAATTGGTGTATTGTATTTTATAGTTTTGCATAATATATCATTTTGTTCATTGGTTTGTTAAACAGATATTACTTCAGTTGAAAAACTCTTTTGAAAAATCAGTTTACATTTTTTTTCTTTTTTCATGCATAAAATGAAAATATCCTTAGTTTGTTGTAAAGGAGTTAATACATCACACACTGAGGGAACATCACTATATTGGAATTATTTGTATAGGCTTTTTCGATCAAACATTTTCGGGGTCGGTCAGGGGGTACTTGGCTGAGAAAATGTTTCAAAGGGGGTACATGACTGAAAAAAGTTTGAGAAGCACTGCTCTAGTGCGTACTGTAGATGTCTTATATAATTATTGACAGTAAAATAACCCACAATAAATGTTCAACATTTAAGTCATTTATTTTTTCCTTTTTATTATTGTTTTTTTTTTATCCTAAATGACTTATTTCCCAAAAAGCACTCAGATTACTGGTAAACACAAGATTAAAAGTGATGCTTTTGTATGATTCTTTGCAGAGAAACTCAATTTAACAGATGCATCTATTAAATAAACATATAAATTATTTGACAAAATCAAGAGCAATTTATGTTCATTAGATTTCCTGGAAAAAAGCCTGCGTCAGACGCACGCATGTAAGTGCTGCGAATGTAAAAGGTTAAGAGAACTCATAGTTGAGTCACATCTGTTAATACAATGTCCCAGTCAAAAATAACATTCTGTCTACAAAACCTCTTTAAGGATAAAGTTGGAGATATTCTCGTCATCCCCCCACTCTGATTCTCTCCCAATTATCTGTGGCACTTTTTTTTAGCAAATTATACACAAACAGGAGCAAATAAAGAGAAGAACAAATACATACCTGCATGTTGCAATCCACCAACTCCATGTGGCAACACGTGACCCACATCGGGCAAGGTGAAATTTAGATTTGGTAAATGAGGAAAGGGTGGAAGACCTCCAGGTAAGGGCATCAGACCTGTGCAACAAACACATATTAATCAGTGCTAGGCTATCAGGCTAATGTCATGCAAGTTCAGATTCAGAGTAGTTGGCAATTGGACATCTGAGGTGCTTTAACCACACGAAAGAATGTAATGTGTACTAACCTGGTAGTGTGGCAGCAGGATTGACAGACATGGGAGCGCTTTGTGAGGGCGAGGCTTGGCTGGGCGGCGGGACATTAGGAGCTCCTGGAATAGTTTTTAACAAAGCTGTTATGTTTGTTAGCACCATGTTATTTGTATTATTCCATCAACTATCAACATCTATTCAAACAGGATATTTTGAACAGTCAGAAGCTTTATTGTACCTGTCTGTGGATTGCTAACAACAGAGGTCAGGTCAGAGCCCACCGACAGGACGGAGAGAGGCTGCTCTAATCCAGACGAAGAAGACGCAGCTACTGGAGCCGTTGGGATGACGGCGGAGAGATGGACCTGGTAACCAAAAATCCACTCATCTCAGTAGGTAATCACGATATCTCGAAGCATTATTTATTTGTTTGATGCCGGGCTACCTCTGTGAAGCCATCTTTGGGAGGAGCAGCTGGTTTAAGGGGAGTTTTTGCAGGGAAACTGAGAGTCTTGCCCTCTCCAAATGGCAGTGTAGGTATCCTGTGCAGGTAGCCGTAGCCAATCCCACATCCTAGACTGAAGAGACAGAAGTACTGTGAGGGGAAATGTCTACAACATTTTACAGTGGTCCTAAAGATGATGTAAACACTCTGGGGGATCCAAATGGCAAGATATTACAATAAAACAAATCAACTGGAAACTCTTCTGGCTTAAAAGTTGGATAGAATAATAAGATTTTAAAAACCTGTTCAGTCAGTGCATTTTCAACTTTTACATTTCATTATCATTTTCTCTCAGAAAAGCAAGGACATATGAAACATTTAAATGAGGTATAGTACACATTGCCATAAACTGGAAAAACAAAACAAGGTTGCATAACAATAAGCCAAATAGGATGAAATATACATTTAACTACCAAATACTCATTGATGTAATTAATACAAATGTGTTATTAGAATCCTAATTGCATTGCCAATATATATTTTTTAACTGTTTAGACCAATGCTTTTAAAAAAACTGAATGAAGAACTGTAAGGAAAAAGAAAAATGCTTGACTGAAACATTAAAATATGTTTAAAAATATATTATAAAAGGTGTCCCGGCCATCACCTGACAATGTATCAGGTAAAATCAAGAAGCATTTATTGTCAAAATGATGCCATTTCGAGTTTGAAATAGGTGTGTTAGTAATGAAGCACAATTGAAGGCCAGTTTTCTGGATACCAAACGTGTCATCTCTCAGCCTGCAACAGAAGTAAAATGCAGACTGTCTTACCTGCCCTCCCCTCCCCAGTCACAGTTTGGAGTGATGACCACCTCGCGGCAGTTGTCCGTATCTGTGCTGTAAACATACAGCTTCAACTCCTTCTCTTCATGGGATTCAATCACTGAGAACAGATCTTCACTCTGTTGAAAGAGCACAGATACATGTCAGCTCTAACCTGTTGCCAACTTTAGTTCAGCATTACACTGATCTGCAAACAAGTACCTCGCTCATGTTGGTGTCAGCTCCTATAATGTAGTCGGTGTAGGCCTTCAAACCAGCCAGCGCCGCAGGGGAGTGTGGTTCCACCTCCTGGACTCCAACAAAAAACGTTTTTCTGTTTGTATTTGACTGAGATTTCACTTCTTTAACAATTTGAAGTTACATTTATGTCTTAAATACACAAACACTATATATAAAAACCTGTCAAATGTGTGAATATATGCCAGCCTTTGATGGTTTATAAAACATAATCTATTGACCCAGTTAAACCTATACTTCTAAGCTTGTGATTGGTTAAACATCCAAAAATCACGTATGATATCAAAGCAGCTTTATAGATATTTCCTCATCACAACGACACTCACCAAGATATGCCAAACATTTTCATTTGCTCCTTCAAAGCTGCAGAAGCGAATGCTGACTCCCAGAAGCCCCTGCCCCCCCCACAGGTTGCTGGGTATGATGGTGGTCTCCCTCACTGCCAGCGTCTTGCTGTTGTATAAAAGTATCTTGATTGGCCTCTCCACATTCATCTTCAGCATTTCTTTTAGGGTGTCATTGTCCCTGTTCTGTCAGAGATGTAAACATGCACATTATCTGTGATTAATATGTGTTGAAGCACTCAATAACTGCAGCAAGTTGTATTAGCAAACATACCAGTCTAGTGTCACAAATAGAAATGATGAAATCAAAGAATGGCTCCAGTCCTGCACGGTTACCGGGGGAATTGTCTTGCACCTGTAAAATCATATATGTTGACTTGCAGACAGTGAAAATAGATACTCATCGTTCATTTTGAGATATATTCAGCTATTTTATTAATAACCAGACTTACCTCCATTCCACTAACTAACCACTTTGGTTTACATCCATGTCTTTTTCAAATCATTGACCATTTCATCCTATTCGACATGTGTTCGAAATTGTCATGAATAGCATATGAATTTGACTTATGGCCAAAAACAAAAACGTTTTGTAAAACACTTGAATTGGCACAACAATACTCATGTAAAATAGAAAGAGCACTAAGATCCAATAGTTTGTGTGTGTAGTAACACAATGCTGCACTTATTTTTGAGTCACTGGGTCATATAACATGGAAACTATTGAAAAAGTGAAAAATATATATTTTCGCAGCCTTAAATACTGTGAAAAAAGAAACGTGTCCTTTTTGTCCAGTTTAGTATTAATATCTGGTTTGGATTTTAAGTCACATGGTCACATGACATGGAAGCTATTGAAATGTTATTTTTTCAGGCACTTGATTATAGTTGGTCTCTCAATAATACAAGTTATATTCATTACAAAAAATCAAAGTGCAGAATATTTTCCTTTTTTTGTTCTGATTGTTCATTGACTTTTAGTCCAAATTGTTTTTTTTACATTTCAACTATTATATTTACTTTTTTTAAGGAGATGTAACGTCATTTGATTTGAGTTCAAATAGCTAAAAACGGGCAAGGTGAGAGTTCATGGCCTTTTATTTTTGGATAAGTACAAATGTTCCTTTTGAGAGAAGGTAGTCCTACACACCGCTCTGTTTATTTATCCATGGTACTCGGCTGACATTGAAGGCAACACACCCATCTCCACTGACAGTAGTAGACCCGATGTAGTAGACACACCGGTTATTCTGGCAACATTAGGTTATAGGAGGTAACGACTGCGCATGCCTGTTTACTAAATATCTCAAGATATGAATTAATTAGTCTAAAACAACCTGACAAACTGTCGAATAAATAAAAGGACAGATAATAATCAATAACAATGTACCAAACAAGAGTGGGGCGTAACTCCAACCTAACTACAACCCTGCGCACATTGAATCACAAATTGATAAAGGGAGGATATAGCGATGAGCCTTTAGCTAAACCTTACACATATCCTTATTCAATAACTGCCACCAAATTCATATATAAACATCAATAATTAGCTGTTTAAATAGCTGAAACGTTAGCTGTATTAGACCCCTGCAGCTAGCAGCAGCAGCTCCATCTTTCTCATAAAACACTAGCTGCGTTTCCCCGGGACATGCTGCTCTTACTCTGAGGACGTGGTATCCTTCAGTTCCTCCTCCCGGTACCTCGACGCTTTGAGACCCTCCCATGTTTCCCTGAATGAGTGTATCAGGGTGGCTAGCTGTGTGCGCTTTAGCAGACCATGCCCACAACAGTGCCGTGCTCCCTGCGGTTCCTGGTTCCAGCACTTCCGCTGTACGTGGTTTCTTTACACATCCATGGCTGCCACCCTCGGTGGAGGCTGATGACAGCATTAATGTGTGCTGTATCAAACTGGTGATTATATGCGACTATACAAAGCTATTATTTTTACTGTATTGAAAAGCAGGATTATCAACTTTCAGGGGCCCCCATGCTGCAATGCATATTTGCATGCACCTGCGGCCTGCCTATGTAGGCTATTATGCAAGGTAATCACCACAAATATAATACCATTTTAGAATAACATATTTGAATGATAGCACCTCAAGTGATATTGGTTGCATGGACATTTATTTAAAACTAGTTAGGATTATAGTTTTGCTGCTGCCCTGTTAACACTAATGTTTAGCTTCTGGAGTATGTCTGCCTGTTTCTCCTACCTAGGGTTTTGCCAACCATCCACTGTATGTAATACATTGACAAAGGATAAGTATGCAACCCCACTTTAAACAATCCAAACGTTCCTGTTAAACTTTAAACGTAGTTCTCATCATCTCAGATACACCCTGTCGGGGACTGTCGTTTATTTTTGGTTATAAATGTTTTGATTTGACCATCTGCTCTTTGATTTCACCATGGTCAAAAGTGTATATGTGTTGTACTTTAAACTGATTTCTAGTAACTGCATACTTTTTACTTTAATTTAAAAAAATGTTTAGCATCATTTTGTAATCTGCCATATGTCTAATGTTGGGGAATGTTCGGTTGTGTTTGTGTAATATGATAAATGTAAACAATCAATAAATACATGTTTAAAAAAAAGAAAAGTTGATATTTGAGTGTTAACAGTATTTTGCTATAATAAGCTCATTAGAATAATTTAAAATGGATCAATAATTCAACAGTCTTAATGTGCTTTTCTTCATAGGAACTTTTTAAAAGTTTAATAGCCTACTTTTTAATTAAACATGTTTTACTGGATGTAACGTGTAATGGAGTATTGTTATCTTAGTGTTTTTACTTAAACGATAATACATCGACAGTGTCTGCAGTAATTTAGTGTTCTTCCTCCTTCTTAGTTTTTATAGCCTGGTATGTTATAGTTGAACTGCTTGAATGAGGTTCGGGGTAGAACGAATATTAATCAGAGATGTAATAAAGACCCTTACCTTAGATTTTCTGGAAGATGAGTTATGAGCCTCTTAGCCAGTAACATCCTGTCACCATTTATCACCATTAACAGAGCTGAGCCATATCACCGAAAACCTCAGTTTTTTTTTTAAAGCATTTTATTTTATATTTAGATCCCAGCTGCTTCTGATTTGCTCGTATAATCAAGTCAGAACAGAAACATGAGCCGGGGCAGATGTGAGAGAATAAAATGGTCTCCTTGATCAAGCGGTGATAATAATGGATATCATCAGTGCTATAAAGAACATGGGCTCTAGGAGTAGATTAATGTATGTAGTTGAATATCTCTGTAGTGCAGAAGCTCTTATCAAATAATTTGAAATAAACTTGGCCAGCATTGTGATTCTCCTCATCAATCACATCAGTTATCCTGTCAGTCTAGCGTCTGCGAGAGCTCACCTTGATGCTGTCTCTTTGCTGCACTGAATGATCCTTAAAGCTTTAACTGTGTCCTTACTTTAAGAGAGGACACCGAGCATCTTTGTGAAAAATCCTGACAAGAAGATGTTATTCTTGACATTGTGGTGGGAACCAACATAATCACTTTAGAATCATGCTTCTTATTTCACACTTTGACCTCTGGATATCGCCAAAAGCAAAGTATTTTTTACCTGCATGCGAATTTGGTGCAGCAAAAGAATCAGTCTAAAAACCTGAAAAATGCAAACATTTAAAACATTTCAGTTTCAAGTTGGTTATTGTTTCGAAGTTAAACGTAATCTATCTCTCTTGTTAATGTAGCAACACTTATTTATGTTAAGCTTCACAAGACAACAACAGGATGGTTTGTTTATAATAAATTAATAATTTCAAGTAAGTTTTTTTCTTTTTATTGAAAATAATGATTAAAAGCTATCTTCTTTGGCTTACCACAGTGACTTCTCACTATTTTGTGATGTTTTATAGAACAAATTAGCAAATGCTTGCCAAACAATTCAATAACAAATCAATAGTTGCAGTCCTAATATCAATACCATACAAATACTGAAAATTACATCATTCATTGTTGTTGAGCAGATCTTAATATATTTTATCTACTACCAGTGAGAAATAAACTTCGCTTGGTGACACTTGCTCCTTCAAGAAGAAGATAAATAAACTCTATATTTCAGCAGAAGCTTGCTGACGCTTTAAAACTCTGCGATCACTGTTCTGGATAGTTCTCTAAGATTTATACTTCTCCAGTCCTGCAAGGAATTTACAGCTGAAGCGGCAAAGCACTGTGCTGCTCTCCAGGCATTAACTGTATGAAACAAGTCTGATGAGGACAGGGAGACATTAACAAAGACATGGCCAGAAATTAAAACGTCCATCATTTAATAATAGGTTTCCTTGTGTGTCCCGACCACACACTGCATTTCTACACCGTAAGCAAAGTCCCAGGTACAAACATCATAAGCTGTAATTGTCAGCGTTAGTTTCCTAATGTCTGTAAGAGGTGATATTCAGCAGGATGAAAGGGTCGTCTGCTGACATAATGTACTCTGTTGTGCTGGGAGGCAGAGATAAAATGCTAAGTAAATGAGAAAATCCTGCATAAAGATGACAGGGCAGCAAGCCTAACACCAGTATAAGTCATGTCATTATTATTGTTATTCATCATTTTAATATCAGCAATATTGAACACATGTTTCCTCTCCTAACCATGTTGCCTAGTTCTTATTGAGGAAACAGGAAACGCAGCAGAGCACACGTGAAAGCATTATATCACTATATTATTGTCCTTAGAGGTTGTTTTGTTCATTTAGCATGCATGATAGCAATCACTTGGTTAGCGGCAGTGTAATTGCTCCTGGGCTCATGCTAATTCCTTTAGAAAAATGTCCAGCAGTAGACATTTACTAGCAGCCTTCAACTTTAACAAGCGTCACATTATTGGTTTACACTCCTCATCCATGCAGACGGGCGAGGTAAAGTCTCTAGATAATTTATCTCCTGCTTAAAACTTACTTTCTGCCAAGATTAATTAAGCCATGGACACACAGTCAATAAGAGGAGGCTATTTAGATAAGTGTAAACCATTATTATTACTTTAGAAGTCAGAGGCATTAAGGTGTTACAATTGATTCTGTTTGTAAATGTCAGGCTTACACTTTATGTTCAATTTAAGAACAACATGAGCAGATTGCAGTGTTATAAAAACACATTTTAGAGCACAAGAACATGTAACTATTGACCTTGAAATCAATATATAAGAGTAGAAAGACTCTTATACATTATATAAGCGTGGTTTGTTATGTAAATAAGGTAGAAAAGGTTACAAAAATTGTTTTCAGGCTAAATTGTGGCTATAGCTGCATGATGTGCATGTTAATGGAGTGTGGAGAAAAGGAGGGGGGAAGGGCTGACATGCAGCCCGCAGTCAATATCATCATCGTCATTGCATTAGACTTGCCTTACACAATGCCAACGTCAGTATCTATCAGGAAGCTAATGTGGCAGTGATTCCCAGGGGCGGGAGATATATTTGGTACTTCAGGAAACAGCACTGACTGAGATCCGTGGATAAATATAAGAGAGAGGAATAACACAGCTGAGACAGGATAGATGGGAGAGCGACCCATTGTGGGAGAGAGAACTTTGCCTCAACGTTAAAATATCCACAAAATGTGCCTTTACAATTAACACAAAGTAGAAAAAGGCAATGCAAGGAGCTCGATGAATGTGATTATCTTTGGTTCATTTGGAGTATTCAAACTAGGGTTGAAACCTTTGTGTGTGTGCGTGCGTGCGTGCGTGCGTGCGTGCGTGCGTGCGTGCGTGCGTGCGTGCGTGCGTGCGTGCGTGCGTGCGTGCGTGCGTGCGTGCGTGCGTGCGTGCGTGCGTGCGTATGTGTGTGTGTGTGTGTGTGTGTGTGTGTGTGTGTGTGTGTGTGTGTGTGTGTGTGTGTGTGTGTGTGTGTGTGCCAGGTGATGGAGGGTGAACAGACTAGTGCAGAGACAGACATTAAGCGTTTCACAGTCTGGTGTTCAGAGCCAGTCCGCCCACCCTCCAGGGACCGAGGCTGCAAAAACAAAACTGCTCCTTATTATTTTACTGCCGCTGATCTCCTCTTGATGAAAGTTTAATTATGCTTGTAATTAGAATTGATGGCGATTGCTGATTGCTGATTAAACCGAACACCCTTAAAAATATTGCTATATGTCAAATCTGTAGTCTATACCAGTTGCACACCTTTTCCTTTCAAACCTCATATAGCTTTGTATACCAAAAATAGATAATTTTCAGAAAAATGATCATGTTCACTGAACAGACGGACTGATATTTGTATGCTTACTCTGGGTGGCCATTCCTCCATGTGTAGCGAGTTACGTGACCCACTACAGGAGCCGAAGCCCTGGTTTCATTAGCATTCAATCATTATAAGATTCTCCAACACCTGCTTCCAAATTAGCCATGTCATTACGCTTTGGCACCCTCAATGATGCAGAGCTACAAAGAAAAAAGAAAATCACCCTGTATTTAGATATGGAAAGAAGTCAGGGGTTATTATTTATATTACCCCATTATAGGAGTAGTTATCCCTTTAATCCTCAGTAACTTTACACAGCAGCCAGTGACACCCGGGCTGTAATGATCACTGCACTGAAGCGTGAAACAAAGAAGCAGCGTCTGCCCTGGAGGAGGATGGGAAGAGAGCCAGAGAAACAGCCCCTCCACGGCTGTTTCGAAATAAAAGGCAGCCAGGCAGAGCTTTCAAATAGGCGCCGTGGAATAAAAATGTTAAGAGAGCACAGTCTAATGCCTTTTATGATAAATATCTTAAAAGTGTGAGTAATGAGAGGAGTGAGAGAATTGGCAGGCGGTGCTCGTGAAATCTCAGCTGTGAGATGATCAGCCAATAAAAAGTCCCTTCAGGGTGATTAATCTGACCAACGATGGGTGACAGCCAGGTGG